TGATTATCCACTGTAGTCACTAGAATTAACAGTAAATTATTGTAGGCTATTTCTAAAAACTCAAATACCTCCTCAAAAGGGGGGGAAAATCACATACTGATTTGCATATGTTGCTGATTCCGTAAAGGCAACTCCAAAAAAGGGTTCCAAATACATTTTGAGCACTTGCAACATTATATAATAAACATTATATATAAAACTATTCAATTTTCCATGATAACTACACTAAAGGACAATCTTCATTCTGTATGCCTACTTCCAGGCATGTTGGTTCAGTCCTTTGGAGCACATTTATAAGTCCTGTAAACACACAGGAATCTCTCTCTTTCCAAGGGCATATCTGTATACTGAAATCAATCAAACAGAACAATATTTAAAAAACTCTACATTAGAAATATCCAAGAATATGCAAGATTTCTTTTGGCTGTTTATCTATGAACTCCACTCTAAAATTCATGTTCTATGTTTCTTCTTACCATTCCTCAGAAAAGTCTTCAGTGTTATGAGTGGCCCCTTCCAGTGAAGTTCAAGTACTACACAGTGGTTGTGTGCACAGGCTTAGGAGCCAGAATGTCTACGATCAGGCCTTTATTTCACCACTTTTAAGCTGTTCCTTCTTGGACAGGGCACTTGATCTCTCTTTGCCTCTGCTTATTCCACTATAAAATGGGGCTTACTATAGGAATTTTCTCATAAGGTTGTTGCAAGTCATCAAAGTGAAAAGCTCAGCATACTGCCTGGCACTCTGAAAGTACTCAGTACTCAGTACATGTCAGCTGTTCTTAGGTCCAATGGCCCCTTTATGATTCTCATTCTCAGTCCTTTGATGAGTCTACCAATTGCCAAGTTATTTCTTGAACTTCTTTTTGTTTTTTTGCTCAGCGATCTCCTGGTTCTCTTGCTCCTCTTCATGTTTTGTGTCTCTTCGTTTCTCTTCTCCCTAAGCCTATTCATCATCACACTCCACCCCCCACGTTCAGGTCTCTCTTCATCATTCTTCTCCTTTTTGTCCTGACCCTGAGAAGTCTCATCCACTCATATGATTCACTGTGTTTAATACAAGAGCATTTAACAAGATTTTAAATGTGCATTCTGAGGCAAAATGGCAAGACAAAGAGATTCCACACAGTTTTTTTGTTAGCAGTAACTATGGCAATATACAACTAGCTTGATTTGTCATTGCCAAAACAGGCACTGACCTCACTTCAATAATCTGATAACGAATGCTAACATACAGTACCACTGAGCTAAGACAATGATTAAGTTCTACCAGTTGCTCAAGGCTCAAGCAGAGAGAAGGCAAAGGGCGGGGGTAGGAGGCGACAAGAAAAACCACAAATGTAAACTTACCCAAAAAAAAGTGCCAGAAGGAAAAACTTTTAAAACTCTGGGTTAAAAAAAATAAAGAGATGCAATCTTTGACAGAGAAAGCAGCAGGAGGTGGCAAACTTGAATGCCTCCAAGGGCTAGTACGTAAGCTAAATGAATAAACTTGAGCAAGATCTGACAATAGGCAGTGCTGGGGACTATGACAGACTAGAAGATGTACTTAAGGATATTCCTATTCAGCCTTTTAAAAGTAGACATTGCAGGCCAAATAAGCCACAGGTTTCTGTTTTTTTTTTGTTTTGTTTTGTTTTTGTTTTTTTGTCCTCTGGGTGTAGAGAAACAATGGTAATGGCAATGGTAAAATATATCATTGCTACCTGCGCATTGGGAATGAAGCTGGCTAGCGAAGACTTTTTTTTTTTTTTAACAAACTTATCTTAATGGCAAAAAGCTGCAAGTAAGACAAATTTGCTTTATAATCTTATTACATTGTTATATGACTGTTATGATTCATAATGCAAGCATGGATCTGCTGCTCCTCTCCATCACAAACCAAAATACTATGTTCAAGGATGATTAAGATTTACTTACTGGCTTAATGTGATACAAATCCTGCCAGTATGACCCCCAAAGGTGTATTTCACACTCACAGTGGGTCTCTGAGGTAGTTATTAATGTATAAAAGTTCCAAGATCTCCCAGGAACAAAGATCTTTATCCTGAAAAGTACTTATAACTGACATTCTAAATGTTCCCTTATGTGTGCGTTACATCATGACAAGAGGTTTTTGTTTGTGTTTTTATTGCCACTTAGTTTTGATCAAAATATACTTTCTTTTTGCATCCCTGCTGACTGAAAAATGACAGTCGTGTGGCCCTGAAAGATCATTCTTCTGAAAGATGGAGCCAAATTCAATTAGGTATCAACACTGTGATCAGCTGTTTAACATGAAACCAATGAAACCAATATTCAGGACTGTTGGCTAACCGCAATTATTTCCAGGAGATACTTGTTCGTATCCGATCATTATATCTCCAGGTTTTCTGATGCTATTAAATGAATCCAGTTCAATATCTATGGGTCATGTACTGTGCATCAAGCAGTAAGGCTGGAATTAAGAAGATGATGAAACTGTAGTTGTTTCTGAAAACTTATGCTCTAGTGAGGGAGATCAGAAACTTGCTGTTTTGATATAATGTGGTAAATGGTATAAAAAGAGATGTGGAGAGAGTACTAAGGAAAAATGTAGATGAAGGGAGAAAGGAAAGTAATAAAGGCCTCCTGGGTGTTGATTTTTAAAAATAAAACATCACATCCCAATTAAAACAGAATACAATCAATGGAGGTACTTATCCAGTAATAAGTACCTCAATAAGTATACTAACCCACCATCAGAAATCACACTGAATACTTTTCTACACTTCAGGATGGATCTGTCCTGACTCAGTGCCACGTTTTTATTCGTCACTCTTGAAAGCACAAACATACATCTAAGTAAGAGGATCTACTGCCTCTAATTCTTTAAAGAGGCAAGCAGATGACTTTCATAAGAGCAGAAAACAGTGAAGACTCCATAAATGGAAAAAGAAATCTGACATAAAAAGGACTCCCTTCCCCTGTGTGGTGTGGGAAAGACACTCATGTTTTCCTTCTCCTATTGAAGCTCTGGGACTGTACCCATGGGTAGAACAGGCAGTGGGTAATGACTAAGTCTCTCTTCTGCTCCCCAATCTCCACTACCACAAATGCCTGAAAATCTGCCACTTGGGGATGAATCTGATTTTGAAAATCACCACTGGGAAAATTCTATGGAGTCATCAAATATTTACAACTTAGTGCAGCTTTCAGGATAGTTCTTTTTCCTGAAGGGGAGCAGCTGAAGACACCCCAAAAACTTGGAGAAACCTCTGAGTAATATGCCAGTTTTGATTAGTAGCTTAGTAATTTAACCCATTCAGGACATTTCTTAATCTTGGGCAAAGATCAAATCCTTGAAGAAATCACTATGGAATGGTTCAATATCCTGCCCTTTATTTTAGACTGTATTATCATCAATATCTGAAGTATAAGCATCAATAGTCTTTGCAGCAAATCTTCAACCACTTTGTTAAAATGGTTACAGGTAAAATGTTACAGGTAAAATGCCCTGTAACTTCATCTTATTAGTGATTTTTCTAAAACAAATTAAGCCCAGCATTATCATCTGAGAAGTTATTTCCACATTCTACTCCACAAGCTACACATTAACAATTTTAATCTCCTACAGCTTCACTGATTAAGTAGTAAGGACACAGAAGGATACTACCTAGTAGAAATAGTTTTTAGTACTCTGGACCATTATAAATAATTATTAGCCAATAAAAAAAATCTGTGCAAGATGTAAAGAGAAGCAGTTTAAGGAGGGACTCCTAAAGGGTATCAGCATGCAATATAAAGGTTTATTATGCATCACGCATCAATACCATGCAGTGACCCTATCAATAGAGATACAATACAATTTATCTAGTAATCAAAATAATCACCCCGGAGTTTCTTGCTAAAATGGATATTATTGCCTTATTAGCAAATAACTAAATTTAGATAAACTTATAAAAACAGACGGAAAATAAACAATTTCTCACAAACCACTCTCTGCTCTTTGTTTCCCTCTGGTATATGTTTTAAATGACACATTCAACATCTGCTACTGAATCTTTACTTTCCATCCTAGGATTAGATCTCTATACAACTTTGACTAAAAGAGATTATTGCAGTTTAAAAGTTCATGCAAAATTTCAATTACAGTTTTATGTAACATAAATCTTCTAAACTTTCATTATAAAAGTAGGGATGATGAGAAAAAAACTATAAATGTAGAGACAAGATGATTAATAAGACCAAAGTTCAGGGAAAAAATTTAAGAATATTACATATCCGCATATAGCTCAATATCATATTTGCATTTTTAGGTAGGCAAATCAGGTAGAATGCTTCTTTTAATTAAGAGTAGCAGTAAGTGTTAGACTTGAAGAGACAAAACACACATTCAAATTAAAGGTTTATCATGTATGTGGCCTTGGGGACATCCCTGGACCTCTTTGTGCCTTGGTCTTCTCATATGCAAAAGTAAGGATGATTCTACACACACTAGTAGACTGGAATGAGTACTAAATAAACCATCTACACAAAACAGTTTCTCAGCAGACACTCAACATATCTATGGTGAGTTTTGAATACTGAGCTTGTACACCTCTACAGCCCCCAACAGTTCCAACAGATCTTTAGGTGCACTTTTCATACAGAACTTCTCCCTTTCCATACATACGTTTTGTTTGAGATCACTTCTCTAATTCATAGCATAATAAAGAGCTTAATCCTTACCCCTACAGAAAGCTCTCTTCTTTTTATGCTGATGCCACCTGGTAATTATGTATATGCTCAAAACTGAGTGCCACCAAATCAGCAAATAACGGAATTTAGGTAAACTCTCACTGGCAAACATTGCTGAATATCATGCATAGATTCAGATCTACTGTCTTGTCATCCTAGGGACCTTCCCAATGGCAGTTCAGAAATCCCCTCAAAACTCAGCAAAACTCATGAAGTAGCCATGTAAACCCAATGTCTGTACAAATTAATAACAGCTTTAGGTATCGGCATGTCTTTATGAAAAAGATTTTAAAAACCATTACCTCTTTCACACTGGGGTCCAGTAAAGCCGTAAGTGCATGCACATCGATTGGGGGCCACACACCTTCCTCCATTGAGACAGCCACTTTCACAAACAGCTGTAAAATAAGGGGAGAGTTGAGAAGCTTTACCCAAAAATAAATGCTAATGAAGTAACACTTGTGGTCCCCTGGAAGGACAACAATAAAATACCTAAAGTCACCCTGGTGTTTGTTTTGAACCATCACTCTACAGTTACAGATCCTCAGATGTTCCTCAGTCAGAATAGATGAGTTTGTATCTGTGTTAATGCTGACTGTCTATTCCGTGAAGCATCAGAGCAATGCTTTCAGTTCTACATCGAAAACAATTTCTAAGAGATGTCACTGGACAGGAACTGTGTGTCAGCAAACACTCTTTTGCTTACGGTTTATGTTTAATTTCAACAGGGCTCCCATGAGCGGAAAGATCAACTCCTCTGATGTCACCCTTTCAGAAATATAGCGTGTTAAATTGCACAATTAATTTCAAACAACAAAAGACTAATAATGATCTTCAGTAATTTAGGTACCATAATGAAAATCCAGTTGAGAGTTATAACAGAACCTATGAAAACTATTGGTGCAATGAAGTCTAGAGATGTTTGAGGGCAGGCTATTTTGCTTTCTAGAAGAGACATTAAAATAGGACTTGAAAGTTCATGTGCTAAACAACTCCTCTTTGTACAATTTCCTGTAACTCGCACATGCATGGCCTCTTTCTAGGCATCTTCATCATCAGTGGTAGGCTCTTCTCTGCCAAATATGGCAGCCTCACGCACTCTTCAAAGCTCAGCTGAAATCTCACTGCTCCATGAGGCTCCCCCAAAACCTCCATTCAAATTCCTTCCTCCTTATATATTTTCTATACATTTTTCCATACATTACCCCACAGCGGTTATGAAGTTGAGTCACTAATACTACCCCTCAAGAGAATCTCCTGAAAGGAGTTTAGCTGGCAGACAGCTTCCAGCTGCTGTACCTTCAAATCTGCTGTGGTGTTCATGTCAAGGGCATGCTCATGGCCAACGACTGAACACAGCATTAGGATACTGCAGCCTGGCCATTTCCACCCATCATGGAACTCTCTGATGGACACTTTTTGCTCTGGGTTCTCCATCAGCCTGGCCAAGGCTTTTTGGAAGCTGCACTACAGACTGAAGTTCCTTCTATCAACTGTCCTTCTTTCCCTCCCTCCTTGTACAGGGTCAAACGGTCATCATGGTCTAAAGACCATTCCCTCCTACTTCGGCTTCCTCTCTCCTTTATTCTTCACAGGACTTTTTCCCAATAAATCTCTTTTATGTCTAATTCTGTCTTGTTATTTTCTTGGCATAAAAGGACCTGAACTGACACAACCCTTTTTAGCCAAAAATTATGGTAGGAGTCCACTGCTCATCATATAATCAGAGAGGTTTATGTAAATTAATTGTCTTCTTTGTCTCTTGATTTATAGTTAAGGAGAATGAAGAGCTTTTAAACAGAAAAGAAATTTTGAGCTTGCCTAAGTCAACCCTCTCAGTTTATAGACGAGGAAGCTGAAGTTTAGGGAAAGTTTTCTAATTCTGCCAGTGTTAATTAAGCACTTGTGTGTTGGGCTTTGGGCTCTCAGGAAGCACCAAGGGGAGCAGGAGACATGCCCAGCAGCCCCTCTGATTCTCCTGGAATGCCTCTAGATCCAGCCCCATCTTGCCTTCTCCAAAGCCACAGCCTTGGTTAGGACTTGTCTTTCTGCTCCTGCTTTGTCCCCCTCCAGCTGCACTTCCACACTGTGATCTTTCTCACTGTAAACCTTCGTAAGTGAAGGGTACTAAGGTTGATATTTCACAGCAGTAAACATGCGGGCTATGGAGACAGACTGCTTAGGTTCCAACCCCAACTCTGCTGATTACCATCTATATTACCTTCAAAGAACTACTGAAGTCCCTGTGGTCCAGCTCCCTCATCTGCTACAGGGCAACATTCACGCCCTCTAACACAAAGGGTTATTTTCGTATTAAATGAGTTAACACACATAGAGTTTTAAAATGTGCCTAGCACACAGTAAGCACAGAGTAACTCAAAAGACCATGTTGTTGATGCTGTTAGTGTGTTTTCTTTGTTGCAGTCTCACTCCTCTTTCCTGGCCTTACTTTGGAAGAAAACATAGTATGTATAAAGGCATCAAAACCTGGCCCATGACATCCTTTACATCTGTTCCCATCACTCCCCTGTGCACTTAAGCTCCGGCAATACCAAAGCACTTGCTATGTCCCATATGCCATGCTGTGTCTTGTGCTGGTGCTATGTTCATGCTCTACCATCTGCCCAAAAGGTCCATTCCCCATCACCTGAGAGGTAAACTCCTACCCATCCCTCAACACCCAGCCCAAGAATCACCCACACTGGTGAGCCTGTCCGGCCTCTCCCTTCTCCACACTGGGCTACACATACACAGAACTCAATCAATATTCTTCTCCGACTGCAGTGTATGGATGGTAATATGGTTTGGCTGTGTCGCCAACTGAATCTCATCTTGAATTCTCATGTGTTGTGGGAGGGACTTAGTTGGAGGTGACTGAATCATGGGCGCTCTTTCTCATGCTGGTCTCAGGATAGTAAGGCTCACAAGATGATGGTTATTATAAGGGGGAGTTGTCCTACACAAGGTCTTTTTGCCTGCTGCCCTCCATATGAGACGTGACTTGTTGCTCCTTGCCTTCCCCCGTGATTGTGAAGGCTCCCCAGCCATGTGAAACTCTAAGTCCAAAAAACCTCTTTCTTTTTGTAAATTGCCCAGTCTTGGGTATGTCTTTATCAGCAGCACGAAAACAAACTAATACAAATGGTCACTAGGGAATTCTACACATTTTTGTTTATTTATAATAACATAATTAATCTTAAAAAGGGAAGAATTAGAAGCACCAAAAGCAAAAATTAGAAGCACCCTGAATAATGCTCACCATTAAGAATGTATTACATAAACAGTAAAATGTCCATGTAATAAAGTATGAAGCAACCATTAAAGTGTATTTTAAAATGTGTAATGACATGAGTATACTTTGAATAAAATATTAAGTGAAAAAGTGATATGAAAAACTACATATACAGTAAGAACTCATGTACCAAATATGCATTACAAGTCTAGAAGATAGTATCTGGAATGATGAAATCATGAATAATTTTACTTTTTATAGTTTTAAACTTTTACAAATTTTCCGTAGGGTATATATGTTCATCTTAAAGTAACAAAAAAATAAGCTTTTTATAAAGAATGTTCACCTTCTGCAAAGCACAGGGACTGGTGGAAAGCAGACACAGTAAATGGTGTGTACAAATGAACCACCAAACTGAACACTACATAATAAGTACTGCAGCAGCAGAATCCAGATTGAGAAATGAGAAGGATGTGTACACTATTAATGAAGAGAAAGGACATGTTTAGAGAAAATGATGGGGCTGAATTTTGAAACATTTTATTGGAGATGCTTCCTGAAAATCCAATTGTTGAAGTTCGGCAATAGAGTGGAAGGTATCCGCCTGGAATGAACAAGAATTCTGCTCCTCTAGTGGTGACTAGAAATCAAGATCAGGCAAGCAGGGAAGTAAAGGTAAATAAGAGGAAAATGAATTAAACCACCTGTTGCCAGCATTCTAATTGGAAATTTGGTAGTAAGTGTTTTGAGTAAGTGATTTGTTCATCTGTAAAGGTCACTAGGCACTTGTAAAAATGCTGTGTCCCAGGTAATCAAAGAATATCAGCACTTATTTCTTTATTCTCCTTCTCTACAAACAGGTTAACATCTAGAATATGTATAACTATGGTGTACTTACGTTGTCCGCAGTGAGTCCCTATGTATCCTTTCTGGCATAGACAGTGATCGTCACTGCAGCTACCTCCATTCATACAGCGAATACTGCAGTGTTGAACTTGAAAAAAAGGAAGAAAAATTCACTTTTGCAACTTAATGCATAGATTGCAACAGCAGCTCACAGGAACTGATTTGTAGTTATTTAAAGAGAAAATCAAACAGTTTATCAGGATTCATCCAGTGTTACCCAGTAATTGAGACCTAATTGAGAATGCTAAACATAGTATTAGTTGTGTGTATAAACTCATTTACCATGCAATGTAATTGTTTCTTTGGCATTCACTTAAATAGTGCTAAATGACTTTCTTAATTTAACAGAACTTACAAATCAATGTCATTTCTGTAATTTATACCAACAAGAAAGTATTGCCTTGAGTAATCATGTGAGATGAGATTATGACGGCAATAATTTTCCCGGGAAAAGATTTAGCATCCCAGGTAGGTGGCGCAAGGGAACAGTTAAGAGTAGCAATTTCCACAAAATTTTGTTAAAAGAAATTTTAGAGGCAGAGTAGAGAAAAAAGAAAATACCTAGAAAGGCATTTAATAACAAGACTGCCTGATGACAGGGACAGCTGGATTTGTCTGAGGTGCTTCTTTAAACTTTAACCCCAAACTAAGTAAGACCCCCATTTTCACCTACAGGAGTGTACACTTCAGGGCCCAGAGTAGAAAGACCATGGGCTGACAGCCTTAGACCCCAGAAAATGAGACACTTGAAGAGGCTGGAGTAAAAGACAGCCACGGGCTCCGAAGTGAGAAGTAACAACAGCGCAGGCATGTGCTCTCATTTCTCCAGTGTTCAGGCTTTCTCTAGGTCAGTAATTTAGGTATGCTACCAGCACTTCCAAAATCCTAGGCTACTTCCTAGTCTAAGGACTGACTGAATTATTCATTCATCCTTGTTGATATCTGCCTACACATAGAGGCCAGGACTGGGCATTGGAGGCTCGGCTTATTCTGTCTGGTCTTCCAAGTTGCGGGAGTAAATTCCCAGGGAAAAAATGTTTAATACTTTTAGCTAAGAAGAGAATATCTCCTTTCTACACAAAAGCAGAAATCTGCTGTTTATGCTCACTCTTCCTGAAGCACAGAGGCCAAATCTCTCCAGAACAAACAGAAGATTCCACCCACAGCCACCCTGTTCATTATCCCTCGTTAGGAATCCTCAGCCACAGTATTGAAAAGTGGCGACTTGACTTCAGGAGAAAGGGACAATTTTTATGAGGAGCTACACAAATCTCAGCCTGACAACAGGGAAGGAAAATGCAGAACGCTGTATCTACTATACCCTTTCACAGCATGAAGAAGTCGAGTTGAAAGTTAAATGCCTTTTCAAGGACATGCCACAAGAACATGCCACACACTGAAACACCATCAAAGGCCTGTTTCTATTGAACTAGAGCCACCTCCATCTCTCAGCATTCACAGCCTCCTCAACATGGCCCCTGGTGTCTTTCAGGGCTCCTGGGCACATTCCTAATTTGTCCTATGACTCCATCTCCTGATCTACTTATCAGTCATTCATGCACTCAACAAATATTTCTGAGTGCCTACTGTGTGTCATGCAAAACACCTAGCACTTTCCTTTTCCTTTTACCTCTGTAGAACCCCCTCTCTAACCTGCCTCCTGTCTCTTTGCCCCTAACTCCTAAACCCAACACAATATGCACACAGTTCTTCCCAAAACTTGAAATCCTATCTCCAAGACCCATTTCAAATACTGCTTTTTTCCCTTGATCTTTTCTGATAACTCCCAAACAGAATGCGATGAGCCCTCTCTCCTTTCCAATAACTTTATACTTCTCTTTTGAAGCATATATTACATAATCCAGCCCATTTTTCATTCTTTCTCCCCACCCCATTTGTTTAAAAACTTCTCACGAGTGGGAAATATCATGAGAATTAACTATGCAATATCCCCTTAAGTCCCTAGAGTAGCACTTTGCTTATATGTAAGTACTGTATAAAACTATGCTAAATTTTTATTTACTTAACTCATGCTGCCTGATACTGACGTCAAAAGCTATACCCAACGACCAAACTGAGACTTAGAAGTTGTCCATTGTGTCCTAAGCACTTTTACAGCCCTACTAAGAGGGCTGCTATTAAAAATATTTTTATCTTTGTTTCCGCATGTATAAAAGCAGAAATAACTCCTTTGTTGGAGCATTAAAAATCAAACAACCTCGGAAACTGATTAAAATAGTTATTTTAGGCTCTTATGATTCTATTAAAACATCTCAGCCAAAATGCTTTTTTAACTAAAAAGCTATCTACAAGTAGTATACAAAGAAAAATGATTTAGTGAAAACTTTGAATAATATTCTAAGTAGGTCAGGAAAAGGTGTATAGTTGCTTTAAAATTGGAAGTTAAACTTAGCTTCATCGTATCTTAGAAAAACAGTGAAGATTGGGAAAAGCACAGGAAATGATGTCATCTGTCAAGCAGCATAGGAACTCAGCCTTCAAACTGATTTCAATTAAGCAGTCCCTGCCAAGAGCTAATTTCCATTCCCACATGAGCAACAAAGCCATTTAACTACTTTGAGATAAAAAAGCTAACAGTAGTTTAAATAGTGGCTTTACATTATTTGTTCAAGTTGAAAATCAGAATGAATTCTTCTTGCTGGCAAGAATGATAAGTTTACATTTAAATGCAATATAATAAAATCCTCCCTGATATATATTTTTTAACCCTGTCTTTCAGGCAAACCTTTAGCAGCATAAAATATTCTTTCTTCTTTAAAAAATAAAAGCGGTCATTCAGACCTGTGAAACAAGAAAACATGGTGAGCCCAGTGACCCACACAAACCAAGGAATCATGCATGAATCCTTGGGAGAAGCCGGGAGGAAGCAGGGTCAGCATAGATAATATGCTCTGAATCACCTGCTCTGCCACCATATTTATCATGGGCAACTTTGTATTTGTTGTGAGTCTTAGATCTTCAGGGGGAAAAAGCATTCTGATAAAGGTGGGAGTAATAGCTCAGGATTTCTGTGGGGGAAATAAAGGAACTAGAGGAAACAGTTTACAAAGAATATACACCTAAATTGGTTTTACTTTGTATTGAGTCCTGCCATTGATGCATATTCTACATTTGCTCTGATTTGAACAAGAGTTTCAGATGTGTCATAATGAAGAGACCAAGTTCTACATCTCTTAAAAAAGCCAAATGAAAACTAGGGGTTCCTCCTATACCTATAATGATGCTATATTCTTTTCTGGATACACTAATACCCCAAGTCAGAAGATATTATTAAACTCAATCTCCGTTACAATTTTACCAGAAATTGAAAATACCAGGAGAATCAGAGTGCACCGATCCTGCCACATGCAGTGAACCCCGAGAGTCCTAGAGCCACAGTGAGGACCTGCCCTTGAAGGTGAGCAGACAGCCTTAAAGGGTTTCATGTAAGGCTCAATATCCCAGAGCTAACAGAAAATGTTGCCACTTCCCTACATCCATAAAAGATCCCAAATTAATTAAGTGTTCATATCAGACGTCAGTCCGTCATTTTAGTCATTCAAAAGTGACTTCCTCAACGTCTTTCATTTGATAGCATTCGCCAGGAAGAACATAAGAATTTTCTTTAGATTACAGCCCAGTACAGATTAGTTGTTAAATGATTCATCAGAAGAGAACAATGTGAATGAGAGAGAGGCAGGGCTGGCACTTGGATCCAAATACCTCAGGTAATGATTTTCTTTGGGATGCATTAGGTTTGGAACGATTCTAAAGACCTGCCATCATCTTGGCAGGCACAACTGGCAGAAAGAACACTGAGAGCAATTTGCACATAAGCATTTGTATGGTGAACATGTGATTTTAATTTCGGCACTAGGAAAAGCACAGACAGACAAATTAAACAGCTAGACTAACTTCTGGACTCTACACCTGAGACAACAGTCCACGGCGACAATCAGAGTCACTGCAGGACAAAAACAATGTTCATTTAGAAAGATAACAGCAAAGACATTTCCCTTAAGTAAATAGGTGTCTGGGGATGCCTAAAGACCCACAGCTTGGAAGGGAAACTTCACTAAAATTCTCAAAAAAAATCTAGCCAAGCTGGAAAAGCTCCAAGTTAAATGACAGCAGTGATAAAGGTGCTTCCATAAAGGGCAGACTAGGAAGCAAAGAATTCAACCATTTCCAAGGACAAGTCTGAGTAGATTCCATGCATGCCTCTCCTCCCAGTTCATATAAATCCCACACTTCCCAGAAAAGCTTTTCGAAGGAGGACTTCATCCAGACTAGCTATAGTACCACCTTCCCTTCCTCTGAACGTCCCCCGACTTTCAGGATTTGGTTACACCACACTCCCTCAAACTTGCTGACACACTGCTCCAAACTGGTTCTGCTGGCCTTCTTACACCCTTAGAGCTCAGATTAGTGTTGGGAGTACAAATGCCCCAAACTCTCATTGAATTGAAGTGAATTAAATGAGAAAACGTGCTCGAAGTATAAGGGGTTTGATCCAAGTATAAGAAGCCTCAAATTGATATACAGGTTTGACACAATTTCTATCAAAATCCTAAAAGGTTTTGTAAATATAGACAAGATTAATCTACAGTTTTTACAGAAAAGAACTGGAATAGCTAAAACAAAAAAGGATAAGGCGGGAGAAATCTGTCTACCCATCCTGGGCAACAGAGCAAGACTCTGTCTCAAAGAGTAAGTAAATAAAAATAAAACTATGAAACTATTAGAAAAAAGTTGGAGAAAATCTTCAGAATCTAGGAGTAGACAAAGCATTCCTAGACTTGACATGATCCAATCAAGGGCAAAATTGATACATTAGACTTAAATTTGAAAACATCTGCTCTATGAAAGATCCCATTAAAAATATTAAAAAGCAAGCTATGAGTGTGATAAAATGCCTGCAAATCACATATCTGACAAAAAGCTAGTATTTTGAGTATATAAAGATTTCTCAAAACTCAGTGATGAAATAGTAAACAATTCAATTAGTATCTGGACAAAAGAGGCCAGGCGTGGTGGCTCTTGCCTAGATTCCCAACACTTTGAGAGGCCAAGGCATGAGGATTGCTTGAACTCAGGAGTTTGAGATCAGTCTGGGCAACGTGGCAAAACCCTGTCTCTATCAAAAATACAAAAAACTTAGTGGGGCATGACAGTGCACCCCTGTAGTCTCAGCTACTCAGGAGGCTGAGGTGGGAGGATCAATTGAGCCTGGGAGGCGGAGGTTGCAGTGAGCCAAGATCGCACCACTGTACTCCAACCTAGGTGACAGAGTGATACCCCATCTCAAAAAAAAAATTTAATTAAAACTAAGAATCTGGACAAAAGACATAAAGAGACCTTTCACTGAAGAAGATACACCGATGGCAATAAGCACATAAAAAAGATGTGCTTATTGTGCATACACGTACATATATGAATATATATGTACATATGTTATTGTCTAAATGTTTTTGTTGCCACAAAATTCATATGTTGAAACTTAGTCCCTAATGGGAGAGTATGGAGCAGTGGGGCCTTTGGGGAGGTGATTAAGTCATGCAGGGAGAGCCCTCATGAAAGGATTAGTAGCCTTATAAAAAAAAGGCCTGGGAGACCTGTTTGCCCCTTCCACCATGTGAGGACACACAGAAGTCACCATCTGGGAGGAACAGGCCTTCGCCAGACAGGCAATCTGCTGGCCTCTTGATCTTGGACTTCCCAGCCTCTAGAACGGCTAAAAAATACATTTTTATTGTTTATAAATTACGCAGTCTATAGTATTTTATTATAGCAGCCCAAACTAACTAATATGCATGTAAAGTTATAGAGTTTATTAATCCCAGTGTTACAAGCTAATATAGATCTGTGTGTATGTATACACATACAAGAAGAATGAGTCAATTCATGTGTCAGTAAACCATAATAGCTCTATATTACAATTAGGATTGCTCAAAATCCATTTCTAACCTCAGAGACTGACACAGCAAAGAACAGTCCAAAAGAGGGCTGGAATTAAAGTCTAGAAAAACTACTGTTTTGACCTTGTCTAGCTAATCATGCTTTTGGTGCTGAATGACGAGTGTCAAGAGTTCCACCAGCACTAAGGGAAGTCACAACTTCCTGTTGTCCAGGAGAATCACTGGCAGATACTTTGAACCTTCTGGAAATGCAATCTCTCATTCAGGTCACTAAGAGATCATTTTCTATTCTCAGAGTTACATGACCCTCAAGTCAAAAACCACTTGAAAGAACAACACTCCTTCCATTCTGTTCATATTTAAGTGGGAAAATTCAGGCTCTCTGAAGTCCCACAACTTGCCCAGACCCCCTTGATCCCTATCACATAGCCAGTATAAAATTTTTCTTAGGAAAAATTGGTGCAGTGATCTAAAATGACCCTTTCCGGTAGAACTATGTGAAGTGAATGCAAACGTTTCACTGCGTAGAATTGTCCTTCTTTTAGCAGGGAAGTTGGCAAAGTGATCAGGACGTTCTATGGAATGGCACAGCTCTTCCCTAGAACATCACTCCAAAAGAGGAGAAATGAAGTCTGATCGTCCCTAGCTGCGCTTAATATTTTGCAATCTTTAATTCTGCACATCATTTAGACAAAAGCCAACAATTTTAAAGATTTCAAATACCTGCAAAGATCCTGGAGAAACCAGAGCCTTCTCCTTACACTACCCTCATCCATAAGCTACTTGGGGACTTTGTCCCATGTCCAGGTACCACAGATATCACTGAAATACCCTCAGAAAGCAGCACCCACAGTTTTGGATTTTAGTCTCCCAACTAAATCTGGCCTCAGGACCTTACTCCTATACTCCTCACACCCCACAGTTAGCTTGGATTCTGCCAGGCCCATGGCTTTTCCCTGTGGTCTTGTTAATATCCTGTCTCCACATCTCATGATTTCTGCTCAATAGATAAGTCATTATCAGTCACACTATCATTGAAGACCTTCTCAGCTTCATACCCAGTTTTGCCATCTGGCTATATTTCTGCCCCCAGAGGAGTACAGTGTTGTTAGTTGGTTCGGGACCAATCTGAGAGATGGCGTCTATTCCCAACTTTTTAACTGCATTGTTGTTTCTAACCCTGAGATGTTTAGGCCTCAGTGGCAGGCCGGAAGCCACCCTTATAGAGAAGAAGATGCCCAACATGTTCCCAGGTATGCTGCCAGCTGGCTTCTCTGCCTCATTCTATTCCTCCAGTTCAGCGGCCCTTGCCATGTAGAATGAACCTGCTGTTACTTGGAAGATGCGCATTCGAAACCAAACTGAGATCAAGTAAGACTATACTACATTCAGTGCAATAAGCAAGAGTCCCGGCCCATAAGGGAATGTCTGTCCCAATTTTAACAGGCTGTATTTAGTAAAAGGTGGCTATTATTTTTGGGGCTCCACCAGAAGCAGATTCTGAGATGATAATTTAAATGGAGGAGTTTGTTCTGAAAGTAATTCTCAGAAACACTGGTAGGAGAGCGGGAAAGTGAGACAAAAAGAGAAGGAAGCTAATAAAGTACATTATCAAATCTATTATCACTGTGAATGATGAGGGCTCAGTCCCACTAGGGAACTTCAGGAGACAGTGCAGAGTGAGCCTCATCGTTACAAACTGAGAAGCAAGGAAGCTGAGGCACTTATCCAACCACTCTGCATCTGTTGGTTAAAAGTTGCTTCTAGGTCCACTGATCCCCAGCACTTCCAGCTTGCCCTGCATGCAGACCTGGCATGCTCGCTGGCCAGAAAAGTATACAAAGCTCTCAGGCAGAGTCTCCTGTGTTCATCCATGAAGGCAGGGGAGGCAAGAGGGCACCAAGAGTGCTACACAGGACAACTCGCCCTAACCTGTTAATCTGCTTTGAGAGACGCACTCACATGGTAGGACTCTTAATGGGTAATGAACCTTGACACACGAAAGTCTCTGCTCGCAGTAAACAAAAGAGAATGAATTTATCCCACAATGTTTTTCTTTGAAACTTTGTCAAAATAGAACACACGGTGCGGGGGTGGGGGGTTGCATTTTCTCACCAGATAAAAAGAAATGGAAAGGGGACCTAAGTTTTTTGTCATGGGGACGGTCGAAGTTTTGAGGGGCTGTTTATACAAACAAAAACTTCAACTTTTTAAACAACCAATTATGACTCACTTGCCCAAACCCCCAAAAGAAAAACAGTGGAACAAGCAAACAAAAGCTCTGAAGAATGAACTGTGGATATTCATCTGGCATCACAGAATGTGGCAAAATTCTGAAAGAAAAAATAGGTTTATGCTTCATTATAAATCACCCCAGAAACCTTCATAACGACTTCTCACATTTTCTTCTTGTAAAGCAGGGGTCTTGAGTCTTAAATAAGTTTTTAATCAGATTCAGATTTCAGTACCACAAGGAAGAATGCCTAGATTTCTTGAGCCAAAAATGTTCATTAAACAGCCATTTCACTGAGCACCTTTTATGGTGTTTACATTGGAGATACAAAGATGAATAAGGCGATACCTACATAAAAGGCCATAAGCTTTATACTATTCATAGTAACTATGGCCCATAGGTAATTTTCCTATAAAGAGTAAAGAAGGGAAATGAGAGGCCAGATGAAGGAAAGCCTTTCCAAGTATTTTGGGCAGAACAGAGAAGGCAGATGTTCTAGTGAAAAAATGTATTGCAGGAAAGAGAAAAGCCAAAATCAAATTTAGGAGAAAATGGGGTGTAACCACATAAAATAATATTATATATAATGACATGTTAGACTCACTGGATCTGGAGCCACAGGAAGGAGCTATCTGACCAGACGGGCAAGTGCACATATTTGGCCTCGAACAAAATCCATCCCCACAGGAATGCCGGCAAATGGCTGTGAATAAAACCAGAGGTCTGTTAGCACATGGCTTCTGAGCACGATTAGTTATAGGAGACCGATCCTCAAATGAGGAAACCTGGGTTCTCAGGTCCCTCACCAACTTTGCTATCATGACTTATATGACCTCAAGCCACAGGGGTACTCATTTTCTGGCTTTAAAATCCACAACTCATTTATCCGATAATAGTGGTTCCCAACCTCTCTGCTTAGTCTGCAGCACTCGATCTATCAAAAGCCAGGACAGGCTATGAAAAGAAAACCAAACAAATAAAAATGCTGCATCCATACATATTTATATTATCATAGGAAATACATGACTATATTGACTTTCAGATTTAATGATATAAAAATTACATCATTACTCTTGAAGCCAATTTTATTGCAAATGTTTAATGTTTACATTTTCATCCTGTTCTGAATGACATCAACAGTCTGAGAGCAGAATGCTGGAATCTACTGTCAGAATGCTGATTCTACAGTCAGGAAGCCATTCATCCTTTAGAGAAATATTAACATTTTCATACCACCCAGAGACTAATATCATGCTGGTACCAAATGCTCTGCTAGTGGCCAAAACAGTAAGTTTGAATGGCACATGATTAATATTTATCAGCAGCCTAGGACTTGGTCACTACTTTTTGTCACCATAGATATGATCCTTTCAAGCTCCTGCACAACCTTGCAAGTGCAAATGTGATGTGCAAAGCTAAAAGAGTACACTTGACAGAAAGTGCATTCAAACATCCAAAGAGCTTAGCATGGAGCCTGGAAATGACAAGAAATAAGCTATCAAAGGATTCTACAAACATTTATTTAAATACCTGAAGACATCGGAGAACTCTAGGGAAAGCTAGGAAAGGGTTCTATTGAAAAGTTCATTGAGAAAATGCAAATACCAGTATATTTCTCTTTTAGTGATTTAGTTTTGGTCTTAAACCGTAACATGTCAAATAACGGAGATGCTTTCTGGTCAAAACCAAGAATTGAGAAAGAGTTAAACTTTTTCAGTTCACAAAGTAAACATTGTGTACTATAGCCTATTCTTCTCCACTGACCACTCTCAGCCAAGTGTGAAGGTGAACTAATGATTCTTTAATGTCCCTTCAGCTCTAAATTTCCCATTATACCAATGGAGTTTCCTGAAAACTGAACATTATTTCATAGATACAACAACTGTGAAAGCTCCATGAAAGACACATATCATGACTAAATGTGACTTTGGTGTCTCCATCAAATAACACCTTACCTGGCATGTGATTTGTCACTCAACATTTGTGGGATACTGGAGAAATCTGGACATTTGCCTCACCAGCAGAAATCAATAGAGGAACCTCTGTTATCATCTGAGATCTTTCTTAGTCTTTCCACTGATCTTCCTCTGGTGCTGTCTCTCTTCCCTTTCCCTTTTGTCTAAGAGTTAGGTCTGCTCTTGGCCCCTCAATCATCCAAATTTAATGTACACAGTTTGAGTAGGCCCATGGGTGGCCAACAAAGTTAGAAATTACAATCAGAAAATCAGCAATAATACCCTTTCATTCAAACTCCTATCAAACTGATTACATAGTCTATATCGCCAGGCCCATCATATGTAAATGATATACAACCTGGAGCAAAGTATCGCTGTGACTAAACTTTGACAGGGTTTTGACCAAGTTGATCTATTTCCCAACCTGGATTCAGAGAAAGTAGAGCAATCTTAAAGCCAGAAGGCTCTACTTAAACAAATTCATGGTAGAGTTACAAAGGGCCAAATTTTAAGGCTCCCCATGCAACCAACACAACAAAAGAAGGACACGCAGAATGACAGGTCATTTACTTACGGACAATACACTGATTTCCGCCAGGTAAGGTTTTCCAACCAGGGCAACAGTAGGCATTGTAACGTGATCCACAGACATTGGGTCTAAAACAAAAACAGAAGAATTCCATACTTAAAAGAAGAAAAGAAGAAGATGAAGAAATGACGAAATAAAAAGGAAAAAAATCCCTTAGTTATAAAAACAGGATGAATCCTGGCAGACAGATAAAAAACTCATGAGACTCAATGCTGGGTTCCAGTAGTTTGGGACACTTACATAGTGATATCAACAGGGACATCCCTTAATACCACTTATGCATGTGGCCCATCAGGGAAATAAAAACCAGAGATACAGGATGTAGCACGTTCTATCACAATTCACGATGTCATACAAGTCTTAAATTAGACAATAAACTTAAATCAAACAATAAATTTCTTACCAATACGGTTAAGAAAGGTTGTAATAAAATCTAATGCACATAAGACTTTACATTTCTACTCTTTGAAACCATTTTTTCCCCCCTATGGCCCATCTCACTTCTATAATGTTACATATTCTTCCTTTCACTAAAACTATAGGAATGCAAACTCTGACATGAGTCAGAAAAAATAAAGGCCAAAACATGTAAATATTTATTTAGCAAAAGTTTGGAAACAGTCCGGATGTGGTGGCTCATGCCTGTCATCTTGGCCAACATGGTGAATACAAAAATTAGCTGGGCATGGTGGCACGCACCTGTAGACCCAGCTACTTGGCAGGCTGAGGCAGGAGAATTGCTTGAACCCAGGAGGCAGAGGCTGCAGTGAGCTAAGATCACACCACTACACTACAGCCTGGATGACAGAGTGAGACTCTGTCCCACAAAAAAAGTTTGAAAACACACTTGATACCAGCAGTTACAAAAAAGTAAAATCAGTGTCACTCTGGGTTTCTTGTTTACAGACAGTGCATCACATCTTGGAGTAGAAACTCCATTCAGAATCCAGATAATCCACATTTAACAACTTCAGGAAACAACTGAGTAAAGATCCAGTGACTTCTACACTGGAAACTAAGACAGAGGATATAATACACACAGGCCTAAAAGCAACCATTAGTTCTATTTTGCCATATCGTGAGGGCCTAACCATTGATGCTAGTTGCTGGAGATCAGGGGCTGATAAGGAAGGTCACATGTTTTGCAATCAATTTCACAAACTAGGAACAATTCCGAAGCTTGCTGGTATAAACACTGTAACCCCCAAAGCCTTTAAAAACAACTGTATAGTTAAAATGTATTTTCAGCTAGGGTGCACTCCCACATTCTCTTTGTATATGTCGACCATATGAAACAGTACAGAGCCCTCCCACATTCCCTCTGAACTCACTACTTCAACCTCATGCAGGATTGGGAACCAACGTAAGGTCTCTGCTCTGTCCCTGACTCCATCTGTTGCTCCAGAAAAACTGGAACACCTGCAGGGCACCATACATACTTCACACTGCCTAATGAGTCAGAAAGGGAATTAGGAAGAAACCTGGAGGGGCCAAGGAAAGGGCCCTGACTCCATACCCAGCAGCCCAGGCCTTCTCTGAGACTAGAGAGAAAATGATTGAATAGAGGTGAAATATGTGCATGATGTTAAAGCCTGTGTGAGCTCTGTTTATTGCTGTGTACAATGGCATGATGAAATGTCTGCCTTGTGTACATCATGGATGTATGTATGTCAAATAACAGGCATGAAAGCTTCGTATATGAAAAAGACTATGAAAATGCAATGCAGCATTACCATCCTGATGGAATCATCTTCTGACCTAAGTTACTCGGCCAATGGAACCATAAGGAATAAAGGAAGAGAGAAAGATGTTATTGAGAATTTTAAGTCAAAGGCTCTCAACCCTTTGTCCTCCATGACAAAGTAATGCCTGAAACTTCAGGGTGTCCAGAAGTTCCTGGGGAAATTCAAATTCTTGGAAAAGGAAATGAGAGAGGAAGTCAGGGTACAGAGCCGGAGTAGAGGGGAACACTCAAATCTTCCAAACTCTTATAAAAGTTCTCTCAATCTGAAATTGACAATCCAGGCCAAAGTCAACCACCTCAAACCTTCTCCAGCAACAGTTCATTAGAACAGCTCTGCTGGAGACAGTCCAATCCCTACCAAACCCTGGAATAGTGTCAGAGCACCCCTGAGCCTTTGCAGGGTGCCCTGTGGTTGACATAACAATGTTTGTGTGTGTGTGTGTGTGTGTGTGTGTGTGTGTGTGTGTGTGTGTGTGTGTGTTTAACTACAATCATACATTGTCTGACATAATGTGTCACAGACATCGTGTTTGGCAAAAATGAATGTATTTATGTAGTAACACATGTACAAGATGAAGAGGCTAAGAAACACAGGGTCCAGAATGATTATTTCAGTTCTACAAAGCCAAATATTCTAAAGATTTTCCAAGGTATTAAGCATGCTAATATAAACATTCTTTTTAAAAATGTTTAGAATCAATCTACAGCTAAAACATGGAAGATTTTACAATTTACTAGAGTTACAAAAGAAATGTACATGCTCTAAACCTTCCCAAGTGTAAAAGCAATGGTACAGATGACATAACTTGGGAAGCAATTTGGGAGGAAAGGTGTGGCAGTCAATAAAGCAGCTCATCCTAGAAAAAGAGTCTTAAATACATGACATTGTGTTTAAAAATAACCTATACATAAAAGTTATACTACAACTATTTTTTAAAGCTGTGAAGAAGACAGAAAAAGGGTAGAGATACTTTAGTGAGCTAAGTTCTCATCTTTCAAAGCAAGAAACCAGTGAGTACCATTTAAATCTAGATACAGAGGTACAAACATGGTAGACAGTGTTAGCGAGATGACTGAGAAGAACGAAAAACAGAAAAGTTTCAACCTAGGTACCTTAAGAGATGAGAACCTGGGGAAGCAGAGGGGCAGTTCTTTTACTTTCCTACCTAATATTCATCTGCAACCATTCATTTAAAACTATATGCTCTTCTATTTCCATCACTGTCTTTCACTTAAAGCAATAACTCTACTTTCAAAGTATGAACAACTTATCTTTGAAACAAGATACTTCCTGTTTCATTCATTCATAATTCCCTTTAATTATACATCATATTTTCATTTCACTGAATTCCTTAACCTTCTTTATAATTTTGTATTGGACTTACTTTATTTGTATGCTCTGACTCTATGAGTTTTAAAACTTTATCATTTACAAGTAATATGTTATTTAATTTCAGTTGTTTCAACCAATATTTTCAAATGACAATGATTGTTTTAATTGTGTTGCCATTCTTTCTTAAATCATTCTAAATGCTATGTGATGTAGCTCAATGCAAAGTATTAGAAACATTTAAGATTTCTACTCTGCTGCTTTGGTCTTGAGAAACTGCAAACTAATAGAACTCGTTCAAACAAGCTGTGTGACATCTGTTCTACTTACACACAGAAAAAAGCAACTCTAATTCTGGAAATAAATGAGTGTCTTATTGAAGCTGGAAAGAACTACAACACATAAACTCTAAAGGAGACATTCTGGATTATTTCTGCAATAAAAGATTTCATTCTGAAGTTTCAATACAAAATGCTTGTACAGAAGGTAAATTTTTAATAAAGTTACTCTTTTTGGTCAATGAAACTATAGCATCCATACCTCTTTCTCTTTTCACTTCGTCAGTCATCCCTACCAAGCCCCATCGCTCTAACACAAACACACAAAGTCAGAGTTAAAGCTCTGTGCAGGTAGCAATAACATTCAACAAGTTTAAAAGATTCAAATTCAAAGGGGAAAGAACTTTTTGCTAAGTGCTAAAGATACGTTACTTTATTTCATCCTCATAGCAACTCTTTGAGGTAATTTTTATTGTTATATGTTTAACGCTTAAAAAAAAAAAAAACACTATGGCTTAAGAAGGTTAAAAACCTGGCCTCTCATAGCTTCGATATGTGTAATGGAGATTTGAACTGAAGAAGTCCAACTCTAGAGTACACTCTCTGAACCCTATGCTAAGACAAGCGTGTACTTAGAGGACAAGATGACATCAGCAGCATTCATAGTGACAAATGTAATACAAATCACAGAATGTCCATCAATATACCAAGGATAAAGCATAAACTGTCTTGTTGTTGTTGTTTTGTTTTGTTTTTGAGACAGAGTCTTGCTCTGTCACCAGGCTGGAGTGCAGTGGTGCAATCTCAGCTCACTGCAACCTCCGCCTCCTGGGTTCAAGCGATTCTTCTGCCTCAGGCTCCTGAATAGCTAGGACCACAGGCAGGTGCCACCACGTCCAGCTAATTTTTGTATTTTTAGTAGAGACGGGGTTTCACCATGGCCAGGATGGTCTCGATCTCTTGACCTCATGATCTGCCCGCCTCTGCCTCCCAAAGTGCTGGGATTACAGGCTTGAGCTACCGTGCCCGGCCAGCATAAACTGTTTTTTAACTGTATTCCATAGTCTATAGTGGAAAGAGGGAAAATATCTTTTATTCCACTTCACAACTGTATGTTACATTTTTTTAAAAAAAAACAGCTAAGTCCATCTGTAACTTTTCTTACCAGTAACTTTGAATATGGTTTTCTGCGAGAACCTAACTCCAAACACCCTGGACAATGGGTGAGTCTCAGCAGGTTTGATATTTGGATTCAGTCAGACACAGCCCTCAGAAATCATGTGGACTGGCAAAAGCCTCTCTCAATGAAGCAAACCACTGCGCTCTACCATGTCTGACCACATCATCGCGAGACTTGGCCTCCGTGCAAGCTGTCTGCACTGTGTCCACATTCCTTAGGCAGAGCCCACTTCTGCAAGTTTGGTGTCTTACAACAAGATAGCCTTTCTGCTTCCTGTACAAAGTGCAAAATCCTTTCCAGAAAAGGTTAAGGTAATTAAAAAAAAAAAAAAAAAGGTCAGGAGGCTCTTATCTCATATATGTTAGTTTCTCAACATACATGTTAAGTGATTAAGCTCTTGGGCAAGGAGAACACTAAGCGATAGGTAAGGGCTAATGAGGCTGACCCTACTCTATTAATGGCTCTTTTTTTAACCTTTAAGGGAAAAAAGTATAATTTAGCACCTTAAGTATAAATCTGGAGGAGCAACAAAAGGT